TTAACAAAAATGGCTGCATGTAGCCATATCCATTTACTTTACCCTGATATAATCAATTATTTGTATACCTACGAATGTATATTTTTTCGTTTAAATTACGGTTTAATCCGAAGTATGTATATTTTTTTATATTTTCTGCATTTTGTTATATGGCAAAGGAAATTGTACAATTAAACTGATTTTTGTAACCATATTTTATGATAATAGCTTAATTATTTGATAATTGTTTTTAACTTCGACCAACTAACCAATGGCAATCGCATGTACATTGTACCAAAACAATTCCGCAAATTTTGGCGATTGTTTCGATGGACGTACTACGCGGTCTAGAATAGTATCTCCTGTGTATTACGTTCTCATGTATCGAAAAACAGCATAATCAGAAGAAAGAACAGAATTCACGACCCAGACCCAGCATAAATTGGTCTCTACAATATAATAATTAATTTAAATTATATATTTGATATTACTGCTTATATTTTACATATCGATGTAAAGTAAATGCTGTCTATTTAATAGCTTTGTCACCCATTAAGTTTTCTTTCTTCCTCAACTTTTCTTCTTAGTCACTAACTTATTGATATTTTTCATTTTATACCATTACATATGATCGATACAAGTTATTGATTGCAACTGATATACATTTCTATAGAGCACTCGTGTTATCTTTATTCTATGCGCGCTTAAAAAACTTTTCTCCCAACAACGGAGTCCAAAGGTTAGTTAGCCAAAAGTTTCTAAAATATTAGACATTCATTGCCATTTATTGACGTTTACAGACTATTCATTGACACACACATCGAATTACGAACTACACATAAAGAGTAGGTATATCAGGAAATGGCTTGATATAATCCTACATAATTCGAGACAGAGATAGACATAAATATTCTATAAAGACAGTTTGAGCGATAAATAGAATACGGAGAGACATCTAACCTAATACGACTTACATGCTAATAGACTAAACCTAAATGTCACGGACATGAATATATCGTTATATACGAAAAATTATAGGCGAATATTTGAGCACAATATTTTTTTTTCCTTTAAAAATCCGTAGGTATAAATACAAAATTAGAAATTTAAAAATGGAATGTAAAAATAATTAGTACAACGGCATTTAGTAACCAAATCTCGTGTAAACTTATTTTACAGTAATATTTCTGATCAGAACTAAGATTGTTTCAGATTTCAATAGATAATTCTCCAACATCAATTTCGTGGTTTATTTAAATCGTTTCCAAGTAGAAGAATTTTATGGTAAAGATATAATTAACGTTACGTTAATCGGAAAAAAATTGATGCGAACTCTCAATTTGACAAACATTTCTTGCCGTATTTGTTCATACCAATAGTTCATAGAATACACACACTCACTAATGGCATGAAGATCTTTTTGGCCACAATTATTGAGTATTAATGAATATATATATATAACTTACAATAGATTGAAAGCCCTCAGGTGCAAACAAGAGCTTACCAGATCTGACAAGCCTGATCGCGGCAGCGTTAAAGAAAGCTTGAAGAGCTGCACCCTGTTTTCGTCATGAACTACAAAGTAAGAGCATTGGTATTAACAAAATTTGGTAAAAAAAATCGTAAATGCTACACCTATAATACAGCTACCGAAATATGGAATGTTTCTTATGTTAAAATCGTAATAATCTCCTTGGATATCTAAAAAATATATGTAAAAAAAGACAACTTACTCTAAGAGTACTTACATAAATATCTTCATAAAATTCTAAGACAAAACTTATCAGGTTGATTATGCAGACTTAGAGCTAATGGAATGTAAAAGAAAAATAATTATAAAGTTTGTTAGTTCTATTACCCCTTAAATTTAATGGTTAGATATACCCAAACCTTCATAAAATACATCTAAAATGGACGTATTGAATTTAAAAAAAATTCCACACTCCTGCTGCGGTGTACATGTGCAGATTTTTTTTAAAAATAGGTTATTTTTAAATAGTATAAATAAAATTCAATGTTAAATACAATTCCATCAATACTTTCACTAAAGTATAACAAGAAATATATTTTAGTAACCCTGAAGTTTGAACATTAATTAAGATTAAAACTTATTGGTTAAAGAGTTTAATGTTAGAGCCGTACCAAAATTCAGTTATTAGAAATAATTAGGCATTTACACATTTTGTACACCGCTCTATTCCTACAGACTTACAATTCTGTTATCTTTTAAATTTATTACCTAGCGGTTCGTCTGAATTTCACTGAAGAGAGCTAATGACTACGACACGTTTTACCGACTTCGTAACGATGGGACAAGTCTTCCTTAAATTAAAGCTTTAATAAACGCTGGTAGACCAGAATAATAAAATATACAATGAATCAATGGGAGTTTTTGAGAAAAATCTCCATCCTCCCACTTCGAAAAATATTTTTTAACTTACTTAATCATAATATATTTAACAAACTGGATATGAAATTTGTATTTCACAACTGTGCAATTGACAAAAATGTCCTCCTCTCTCCACCACATATAATATCTTATTTATTTGAAAAAAAAAAAACAAGACCGCAATAAAGTTTCTTTGTACAATAAACCTAATGATCCATTTCTAAGAGAAAACAGTCATTTCATAATTTGAGGTACGAATTTTCTTAAAATACCTAACAACCTTTGTTAATAAAATTATTAAAAAAAAGAAAATGTATAGGTACTTCTAAAATTGTACGTATAATAATTGTTCGGATGTATTAAAATGTAACTTAAATGTGATCTTAATATTAAAAAAATCTTACAACACTAAGTAAAGCATACGTAAATAAATGTATAATATACACAATATCGTATTTTGTACTGTAAGGTTATGCCTTTGTTTTTATTGTGCTCATTCAGCACACCGTATCCAGCATAATCGTATCGCAGCGTAATTTTTAAACAAGAAAGTAATATTTGTACATATGAGTTTGATGGCAACATTTTATAATTATAACTCATTTCTTATTCATAGCTGCCAGATAAAGTAACCAGTACTAGCATATCTGTTCTACTCCGTACTGTTAATGTTGGCTTCTGTATGTTCTGGTCAAATGTTAGATACATAACTACTTTGTAACCCAGTGTTCGTTTTAATAAAAAGTTGAACGAATAAAATGTTCCCAAATGAGTTTTACTACTATAACATAAATAAACAAAACTTACATTATTCTATGACGTTACGAGACAGTTGTGCATAATTTGATTTCGATTCGATCTCTACACTCGCTGAGATTTCAACCATAATATTTAAAGATGCATCACGGGGTCTAGTGAAACAAAACTTCTATAGTAAATTAAAAGTAAATCTAGCTCAGAAGAACTAAAACAAGGCGGTTCAGATACTGTAACTTAAAATATTAAATTTCTGACAAACACAGGGCATGCATTCAATTGTGTTATAATTCTATGGCAATTATTTTGGGGAAGGTATTTATGTCTTTTGAATTTCCTTTGCTTTGTTTTTAACTTTCACTTTAAAACCTAAGTACAAAACATCGTACAGATCACACCCTGTGTTCTATCTACGCGAAAATATATAACATAACGCTGCATTATTAATTAATGTATAATTAAAAAGTTTAATTTTTGCTTCAGTCTTTGGATTTTGTGGTGGAATGTATAAAACATAGAAAATATTCGACTCAACAGGACTCCCTTCAACTTACCATGCAACCTGAGGTTTAGAAATATGATATCATCTTACTTCTACGACACGTTTTAAGAATATATTATTATTGATATACAAGAGTTACACATACATATTTAAGACCTACGCACACTGATTACGTAATGGAATGTATTTAATAATCCCACATTTAATTATCGAATATTCGCGTACTACACTATGCCAATACAATACATCGAATAATAAGGTAATGCCAAAATGAGTATATAAGTTGCAACATACAAATGACTATAAGCAAATTGATCTCTCATTTCTCCAATGACCTAAATTACAATCGAAAATAAAATCCTTTCTAAAATACATAAAAATATTTTTAACATAAAAATATATGTGATAACAATCTAATGAGAATTAAAAAGGGAGGGACGAAACATTAAATGGATGAAAATTTTTAATTTGGATATTTAAGACCGCTCCACATACCGCTCTTAAAAATTAAAACAAACTGCAAAGATTTCAAATTTGGAACAATTATAACGGTCAGAAAATACAAGCAAATCATCGCAAATGTATGATTAAGCTCCATTAATTTGACGTCACATTTGGATAGATAGAGAATAACAGGACAATAAGCAATATCGAATTAACTAAAAAACTTTTTTTATAATTTCTTTATTATTTACAATGCAGTCATTGGCCAAAATATTACGAGCTTCCATTGTTCTTCACATTAGTGTTATACCATATACAGTGCTTGACAGCAATCCCACCCGATAGTAAATAGTAATACAGCCCTAGATCAGTGATGGTGAACCTGTGACCTGTGGCTCAAACACTCACGCAGTCTTTTAAAAGACCAACGCCTTGATTTTTATAAACTCTATTTTTACAAGTTTAAGTTTAAGATTGTTGATGTTAATGTCATTTTTTTTTTCTTTGAAAAATGCACAAACTAAATCAAAAAATAACTAATATACTTATGAAAACATCTAACGCATTAGAATCGCCCGTAGATTCCAAAACTGTCCCAAGTTATTGTGACGTCAAGATAACGGAGTCTAATGATGACAAATTCGAAATGTCAATCTCGGTAAGTGTGAAACGGTCTTTGTGAAAACTAACAAAGGGGAGCGACGTAACAAGTTGAGCGGGTGTTGTAAGTTTAGTTTGTCTATACTCAAAAAAAACTTAACGCAACACCCCCTCGACTAACGCCTCAGCTTAGTAATCCTCCAGAAAGTGGAACGGTGCGAAATTGAGATTATCATCCCAGTGGCACTGTTGAGTGAACATGTCATAGATTTGATGCGGATGAGCAAGGTCAGTGTCGTCGTCGTCAGGAGTGCCAAAGAACATCGTATATCATACGGTCTCAGGGCTCGCTCGATTCTCAGGAACCACGGGCTCAGCGGTCATTTGGAACGCATCCGAAGCATTTTGGTACTTGTTCAACCCAGAAGCAGGTGCCGGCGATGGCAAACTGAAAAATGCGCGAATACTGCTAAAAAGGTGTACAATTATCGCAAGCAATATGGCATGAAAACATTATAATAAAAATACAAAAATATATACGAATTATTACCGTATAAAATTCGCTAAATGTACATATTTATATAAACAAATTATATTAGCAAAAATGGGTCTGAATTTTGGCAAATTTGGTCACGACATGTGACAAGTCACAAATAGGAATTGTTATAATAAAATTATGGCAATTAAAAAAAAATGTTGTGAGGAAAATATTACAAGAGTCGATTGTGAGAAGTGCTCGTAAGATTGACCAAAAGGAGATGGCAAATTTTATACTGTGGTACACAAGCATTTCAAATTAGTGATTACCTCAAACAGAAAGTTCATCATCATCATCATTACAGCCCTTCACAAGTCCACTGCTGAACATAGGCCTCCCCCAAAGAATGCCACAAAGCACGGTCCTGAGCCACCTGCATCCATCGACTTCCTGCATGTCTTACCAGGTCGTCACTCCATCTCGTGGGGGGACGCCCTACACTTCGCCTACCGGTACGAGGTTGCCACTCGAGAACCTTTCTTCCCCATCGGTTGTCGGTTCTTCGAGCTATATGGCCGGCCCACTGCCACTTCAGCTTACTAATTCGTTGGGCTATGTCGGTTATTCTGGTTCTACTGCGGATATCCTCATTCCTAAGTTTATCACGCAGAGAAACTCCGAGCATAGCCCTCTCCATAGCTCGCTGAGCGACCTTGAGCTTCCTCATACGGCCAGCAGTGAAGGACCACGTCTCAGTTCCGTAAGTCATCACTGGCAGCACGCACTGGTTGTACAATTTCGTTTTAAGGTTTTGAGGTATGTCTGACGAGAAGATGTGTCGTAGCTTCCCGAACGCTGCCCAGCCGAGTTGAATCCGTCGATTGACCTCTCGGTCGAAGTTGGACTTACCTAGTCGGACTATTTGTCCCAGGTAAACATACTCGTCAACAACTTCGAGCTTAGTGCTCCCAACAACTACCGGCATAGGTGTGACATGGACATTAAACATAATCTTTGTTTTGTCCATGTTCATCTTAAGACCTATCCGTTGGGAAACACTATTGAGGTCATTGAGCATAGTGCTTAGGCCCTCCAGCGATTCTGCCATAAGGACTATATCGTCGGCAAATCGAAGGTGAGTGATGTACTCGCCATTGATGTTGATACCGTATCCTTTCCAGTCCAGAAGCTTGAAAACGTCTTCCAATGCAGCGGTGAAGAGTTTCGGGGATATGACGTCACCCTGTCTTACACCTCTCTGCAATTGGATAGGTTTCGTACTCTGGTTCTGTACTCGGATAGCCATCGTAGCCCTACTGTACAAGCACTTCAACACTTCGATATACCGACAGTCAATTTGGCACCGCTGAAGGGACTGCAGCACCGCCCAAATTTCGACGGAATCAAAGGCTTTCTCATAGTCCACATACGCCAGACATAGTGGCAAATTGTACTCTTCGGACTTCTGTACAACTTGCCGAAGGGTATGTATGTGGTCTATGGTGCTAAAGCCCTTTCGGAAACCGGCTTGTTCGGGAGGCTGGAAGTCGTCAAGTCTGCGCGCGAGACGATTCGTAATGACTCTCGAAAACAGCACGTAGACGCGGCTCAGAAGGGAAATCGGTCTGTAGTTCTTCAAGAGAGCGTTGTCACCTTTCTTGAAGAACAAGACCACCGCACTTCTGCTCCACGCCTCCGGTGTAATGCCACCATGGAGGACGGAATTAAAGAGCTTCTGAAGGACTTCAAGTACCGGTCTTCCACCCGCTTTCAGAAGCTCCGCTGTAATTCCATCCTCGCCTGGGGCCTTACCGTTTTTAAGGTGCTGGAGAGCCATTCTAATCTCGCTCAGACTGACGTCCGGGATATCTTCGGAATAGTGTCGGATGAGACTCGCTCTTGGATCGTTACTCACACTTGCGTGTGGCTCCAACGATGACGTGTACAGCTGCCCATAGAACCTCTCAATCTCACTCAAAATCTCAGGTGTCCCGGAAACGATGCTGCCACATTCCGTCTTCAGCTTTGACAGTTGGCTCTTTCTGGCAGACAGATCTCTGGCAAAGACTTTGGAGCCTTGGTTCCGCTCTATCGCTTCTTCAATACGAGCTGTATTGAAGTTGCGTAAGTCCCGCCGCATGCATTTGGAGATCTGTCTGTTCAGATGCCTGTATGCTGTCAAGTCTGTTGAAGAATGTAGCTTCATCTCCCGTCTAACAGCCATGAGATTAAGAGTGTGATCGGAGAGTTTTTGTGTTCTTCTGCGGCGGGTCTTGCAGAACTTAGCTCCGACCGCATGGACAGTTTCCACGAGCTTGTCATTTATATCGTCCACTTCATTGCAGTCTTCTAGGCACTGAAATCGGTTTTGTAACTCGAGCTGAAAGGTTTCGGGACTTTGGAACAGAGCTCGAGGGGGACGGAGCGTTGACTTCATTAGACGAGACCTCTCCAACTTAACGTTTAGGTTCAGTGTGCCTCTAACCATTCGGTGATCGCTACCAGTTTTCACCCTCGCGATCACGGAGACATCACTGAACAGTTGTCGTCTGGTCGTCATAATGAAGTCAATCTCATTTTTTGTCGAACCGTCGGGGCTCGACCAGGTCCACTTCCTGTGGGGCCGCTTCTGGAAGAAAGAGTTCATCATAAAGAGTCCCTCTTTCTCCATGAAGTCGGCCAGCTGCTGGCCCCTTGGGTTCCGTTGCCCTATTCCAAATTTCCCTACTTTCAGCTCACCGTTCTCTCTTGTGCCTAGTTTTGCATTGAAGTCTCCCATTAACACCGTATATTGGGTTTTGGAGGAATGCATGGCTCTAGAGATATCCTCATACATTTCCTCCACCTCCTGATCGGGGTGTGCCGAGGTTGGTGCGTAAACCTGTATGACCTTCAGCGAATACCGTTTGGTGATTCTGAGTATAAGGTACGCAACCCTCGTCGACACACTCCCGATCTTTACAACGTTGTTAACGAGAGACTTGTGGACGATAAATCCGACACCTCCTTGGGACAGATGGTCGCCCTCCCGGTGATAGAGCAAGTTGCCGGATTCGAGGATTACCGTGTCCTCCCCCTCTCTTCGGACTTCGGATAATCCTATAATATGCCAGCGCAACTTGTCTATCTCTTCTTCCAGCTCCACGATCTTCTCGTCAGTCCTCAGGGAGCGTGCGTTGTACGTTGCCAGGTCGAGTCGAAAGTTAAAGTTAAACAGAAAGTTAATCAATGCTTAATAAAATTAAACTAACTAAAATTTTGCTGAAGTATATACATACATATATATATATATATATATATATATATATATATATATATATATATATTTATTTATTTAAATATTCATTGACCTTAAATATTGATTTTTGTTAAGCAAGTCGGAAAAAAAGCGCCCTCGAACTGCTTTATCCGGGTGCACTGGCGTAATGGTTAGTGAATAGAATGTTCTACAAAGTATATACCTTTACTCCATCTATAAAAAGTTCACGGCACCATATCCCTATCTCTTATACATAAGCCACTATAAGGTATTTTGTGACAAAAATTATTGAATATTAAAAAGTGATTTATGAGCGTTCTTATTAGGTATGGTATAATTAATCCTTACGAACGAAAGTTACTATATCATCAAGACAATTTTATGAAGATAAACTTTGCTCCATAAAGCATGTTATTTGAACGCGTAGTTTAAAAGATAATGAAAACTTAAAATAATCCAACAATCGGCTAGGCTTATGCGTCGTACGCGCGCCGAGCCGACCGATGAGAACCGAGAGAAACCAGCAGTGAACGCCGGTGTGCGAGATGTCATAACATACAAGCGTAAGCGAGATGTCCACGTTTACCACGTGCTCGGCAGTGAAGGAAAACATCGTGAGGAAATCTACATGTCTAAGAAATAAAAATAAAAGATTTCGAAGACATGTCAAGTCCGCCAACATGCATTGGGGCAGCGCGGTGGACACTTCCATGTCCTAAAACCTTTTCAGAAGTGAGAGGACGTCTGTGCCCAACAGTGGGACGTATTAGGTAAGGTCCAAAGTTGCATTACTAGTTATTACATTATTACTATTAATTACATGCTGCCATTTAGATAAATACATTTAGTAAAATGCAAGTCTAGTAAATTCTTCCACTAGTCAATTCTTCAATCGGTTGTAGGTACTGTTGTTTTCAATAAATAAAGTAACATTATACATCCGGTGCAAGGATTTTGTCTAGGCTATCAAGGTTTGAGGTATTATAAGCGTTTAATTATGTATGACCGTGTGCTTTTTATATTGTATGATGCCATTTTTTAGGGCTTTTTGTAGTGCATGCGTTATGAGTTCATAAGATTTTTTACCATTATAAGAATTAAATTAAAATGTGGTTGTGGTTCAGTATTCAACGAAAACTTATTGTTCAACAAGTTCTGATTTACCGAAAAAGAAAAATGGACACAGACGAATATGAAAATGAATGTAAAAATTTAAAAGCGCTGTCACATTTTGTTTTTGCATTTGATAGACAAAGGACAAATGTGCCATACAGCCTATAGGCTAGATTTTATACTTGGTGTAATCGATTTATTTTGGTAAACATTATTAATTTTTTTACCTGTAGGTAACACTACCTGTTAATACAATATAGGCCTAAATTTAATACACATAAATAATGTATTTTAAAAGTCGGAAATACAATTTTTTTTATCAAAATTAAATGAAACGCACATGAGGCGAAAACTTTTGGATATTTCAAACTATTTTTAAATTACATTATAACTTTTTCAACTATTTTATCCTACAATTAAATATACTAATCACTAAACAAAAACTATTTCAACAGGTATTTACAAAAAAACAACTATTTACGTAATCAGCGCTAAAAAACTAACGTTCAATCGCCTAGAACGCCCTGACTGTGTATGCAGATCAGGTGGCCTTGCGATTGTAGGTAATTATTTCACGCAGGTATCAAGAGTGACAGAGGCCTGAAGACTGTAACTTTAACTTAAACTTTAAACGAATTGTCAGGTCGCGCGGCTCAGACACATGAGTAAAGAAACAGTGTAGGGGCAAAACTTATAAGGAGCTGTCAAAATTTTTACCTATTTTGGTAGGATTGGTACAGGAGGACAAAATTAAGTAAACAAAACGTTTATCAGCTTTTATTATACATATACTTAAGATAGAATATTTTTTTTTTGTAAATATTTTATTTTATAATTTTTGTTCTCATCAATTTGTTGTGCCTTTTAATTAAATGGTAAAAATAATGAATATAAGGTATTTTTTTTTAATAATCTATTGGCAAGCTCACATGGCATAACAAATATATAATCTTGCACACGTTTTAATATTTCGTTACCAATATTTACAATGTTTCTTTCGAGATCAAAATATTCGCAAATTTTTTTCTCAAGAAATTCATAAATTCATTTCAGATACATTCTTACATTGGCTGGAACTCAAACAAGCACCGTCATTTTGACAGCAAGTTGAGTGTTGGGAAAGGATTTCCAAATAAATATTTTACAAGTTTTTTTTTTTGAGAAAACTTAATACGGGATTTTTCGAAGTGATCCTCACTTGAGTCTATATTGTTGCCTTTTTATAATCAAAAAGTTTTGAAAAGAGATCTTCTCGTCCGACAGCTTTTTAACCATTCTTGCCGTCTGAAATAATAGTAATAAAAAAGGCATGAACCCAACATATTTAATTTATAAACGTAATTATCCAATTATAAACATTATATATATATAACTATTCAATCACTTATAGGTGAGTTATCTATCTACCACATTATATATAATAAATTATAGTCAAGTTACTACTTACCTAGCGGAGTCTTTGGGATAATTAAAATAATTATAAATATTTTTATTTGTTCTATTATTGTTCATATAAACAGTACAGTAAACCTTACACTTTCTTAGATTTCATTTGACACGTATAATTTAAAAAAAAAATTACCCTTATTATTCTTTACATCGCCCTGAGTTTGAGCACTGGCCAACCCGGTTTAAAGCAGTTTCTCTATGTACATGACGAGCCGCCAGTGCCCACACACACACACACACACACACACACACACACACACACACACACACGCCTCAAGCTTGTAGTAATATAATTATAATAGCGCGGTTGTATGAAGCTTTGTACGGTACGGTTTCTTTACTCATGTAGCTCAGATGCGTGATTTACGCGGGTGAAACCGCGGGGCACTCTGCTAGTATATAAATGAAGTGCCTAACAAGCCGCGAACGAGACAGTCCATATGTGATATTCTAAAGGACCCTTTTCACGCTTCAGGGTTAAATAGAGGAATGGCGTACAGCCTGTAATTACTGGCCTCCAAGACAAAAAGAGACAGCTTAACTTGTGGCACAGCACTGCTGCTTGGTGGCGACAATAGGTAAATTAAGTTACAAACTCTCTTCATAGCCTATATGACTTTTCGCAAAAATTGCACATTACACAGCAAAAGCTATGTACCTACGCTACATACATTTTAAAATATCAGGTATAAAATTCATGCAATTATTCCATTAATTAAAGAATATAGGTATAAAAAACGCGTTTGCACATCGTTATTCGCTTGGTAAGCACAGCGTAATGTGTCATAATAATATCTTGATAAATCAGCAATATGTTATAATATTTTCATGTATTTTTTAAAATATTTGTAAATTAGAAGAATATCAGAGCATAAATGGACGAAAAACAGAATGGTAAAATTTGGCAAAAGCAAATAAAAAAAATTGTCATAAACATTAGACTTGACGCGCAGCAGGTCATTTCATCTCAGGGATATGACGCGTTAACGAAATATTCACTCGATTCAAAATATTTTATAAATATTTATATGTTACTTGAAACATGAAGCATTAAACAGAATATACATTATATAAAAACATAAAACAATAATATATTCATTTATTGTTGTTGTCTAAAAACTTATAGATAGAATTGATATTTACATGCGCAGAGCAAATATATAAATATGCATTATATTTATTTCATTATAATAAACAAAACAAAACGAACAAGATCAAGTACTATTACGCTCGACAGTAACAAATAGATAAAAGTCAACTTACTTATCCCCATCCTTCAATTCGGTACTGCCAATTGGGTCAGAGCGCCACTTGTTTCCAACCATGTTTTGCACACTATAAAAAAGATAATCAATTACAAAACTTACAACTGGTTTTAAAGCTTTCCATTAAAACGAAATACCATACGATCTATATGCTTCTGTAATAAAACTATTTTGTTCATAATAAATTGTAGGACATATAATTTTGGTTTTTAAATATTTTAATACTTTCAGAAATGTGATGGGGCATGTGCCCATCAATGGGACTAAATATATATTCTGTAATAAATTACATTTTTAATTATTTAAAGGTGAATTGAATAAAAATATTTTGCAAATTTATACAATTTCGATTTAACTATATAGATTTGTAACACTCACTGATATGATTGAATTATTATTGATATTATTAAGTTGTCTGCTCCCGCAGTGAGCCAGGGATACAAACCCATCACGCAAATACCAAATCGGATCGAGCATTATTAATGTCTGCCCAGTAATATCTACCCAAAAATACGAATTATCTTCGAAGTTAATTTTACCGCACATGTCTGTTCTCATTTAATAAACTTAATTAAAATAAAATCTGTTTAATAACATCTTTTATATACTAGTAAATTGCTACATACATTGTCATGGGATCGCATTATTGCTTTGTCATCGAAGTTACATAAGCATGCTATTTTTCATCCGATTAAATTGTCAGCACGTGCTTTAAAAATTGATTACCAATTTTGAACCGAAAAGACATTACGAAGAAATATGGGTCTGCTGTATATCTTGCGCGGGCGACTAAACTGTCCTGAATTGTTAGAGCACATGTTGTAACAATTCAGGACAGTTTAGTAGTAGATTTTTTCTATAATATTGTAAGGCTTTTGTTATCCTAAAAAATAAATTTAAAAAATAAAAAGCAAGTAAAAGAAGCTTATAAAAAGCGAAAAGGAACGCAATAATCCCCTTTTTAATAAAGGGCTAAGTAGGCAACCTATAATAGTCCAGGAGGAATCGGCGCATGAGTACCGAAAACTAATCCACCTCAATTTTTTTTATGCGATTCTCGTCAAATTGTCCTACTGATGATATTATGCATATTGCCATGGGACAACTTGGTGCCGTATTGTTTAAACCGATTTTTTTTCAATTGTACGAAACTGTTATTTTCAAACGGGACATTTTTTTATATTATTTGATGAAATACCAATAATAAATATCCTATATTATTGGTATGAAAGTTAATATATATATTCGGAATTTTGAATTTTTACAGGTTTGAAAGATCGCAAATTTGGATAATTTTCACCCCTTAAAAATACATAAAGCAAAATAACAAAATATAAAAGATATTTTTTTTATATTCTTTGATTAAATACGAATAAAAAACAACCTATAACATTTTACGATAAAGTAAATATTTTCGAAAATATGAATTTTTAAACGTTTAAAAAATCCCAAATTCGGATACTTTTTACTCATTAATAATATATAAAGAGAAGAAGTAAAATATAAAAGATATATTTTTTATATTCTTTTATGAAATGCGAATAAAAAATGTCATACGACTATTTACGAAAGAGTTAACATTTTCGTTACGAATTTGTGAAGGTTTGAAAATGAGTCAAAAGTATCCGAAATCGGATTTTTCAAACCTTCAAAAATTCATTCAAGGTATCGAAATAAAAATAAATATTTATAGAGAAAATCAATTAGGTAATAACAGTTCATAATCCCTGCCGAGCAACTATATTCTCTCATACATAAGTATATGAAAGGAAAAAATTACTTTTTATAAAAAGTAAAAGCGGACTTAAAGGAATAATGAATAATTCGATTTTCTAAAGTCTAAAGTTACATTCAGAACTTCATCCTCCTATTTTGCCACCCTTAGTAATAACTTATATTATAACCACCCCTGAAGTATAAGCTATTTAACAAAACAAGAACTATTAAAATCGGTTCACAATAGACGATATCGCGTAACGTACCTACATAATAAAAGAACATACTACCCGTGCGGTGAAAGAATGGGATTTAAAAAGGTGTCACCTCTATTCACCTCTCGTTCGCACAATATCGCTATCTATATCTATTGCATAATGGTTGGAGAGATTTTTGAGAAAATCTGAGGTTTAGTTATATCACAACATTTTCCTGATTACAGTACAAAATAATAAAAAAAAAACGGAGATTTCCAATTCACCTGTGAGGCGTGACAACTGCGGCAAATATTTTCCTATGAGGCAATCTATGAGGGAGGCCTACATTCAACACCGGAATTTAGATAGGCTGTAATGAAAAATACTTACACTTGTCGCATTTGATCGCCTTGAGTGCTAAGCTGAGCTAGATAAGCCGCCTGTTTGCGATGATGGTACATATGCACGCGTAAACATGATGGGTTCCGCATCCTTTTCTGACAAATATCGCATTGGAGAGTTCCCTCTCGAGTATCATGCTTATCCCTTATATGGACCTTGAGATTGTAGCGGTTGGCAAAGTATCTATGGCAGGACGGGCATTTTACGCCGCCGGTTTTACAATTCCATCCTGAGTAAAAATTAAGGCATATTAGTACTGTTAAATTATTTTTTTATCGAAAAAGCATCCTCGTAAGTTATTTTTAAGGTTTTATATTTATTTTACAGTTCACTTACCTGACTCTTTAGCAGACTCTGCATTGTTGTAAACGTCGGTGTCGAAATCAATCAGTGGTTCGCTATGAATTTAAAAAGAATTATTAATTATAATTTAATTATCATAGAATAATATTTAGAAGTGTAATAGTTTAGAATTTAAAATTTATTATTTCAGGATAGTAGTCAAGCACTGTCTTAAAATAGTTTAAAAAATAGGTAATATATATATATACATATACATACCCATCGGAAGCATATTCGGTGTTTTCAATATGAGTTGGACTGTTGTTGACTGGTCGTGATTTTTTCTTTATGTTGCAACTGTTCTTATTCGGCGCATCTTTTAGTAACCTAAAAATAAAAATAGAAAAATAACTATCACTTCACAGAATTGGTAGTTCGTAAAGTTATATAATATTACACTATTAAAAATACATCTAATGTTTAAAACTAATGATTTGGAATGGAAGAAATAAGATAATTAAAGCCTTAAAACTTACTGAAACAAAAAACTGATAGTGTAATTAAACATTTTGGAGACGAATATGCAGTTATCTTAATTGCATCCAATGCCAATTACAACTGAACGAGTGCGTGCGTCTGATGCAAGGGAAGGGGTATAACTTATTGATCTGTCATACGTACCGTTTCAACGGACTTCGCGCAGCGTCCTCTTTTATGGACGCTCCAGTGAATTCAGTGGGTGATTCGGTTGCTATGGTATCTTCTCCCCCGGGCACCCACTCAGGCTGGCTGTCCCCCGACGGTTCCGGTGCCCCGGGTCCTTTATTCTCATCTGACACGGGCGGCGGTGATTCGCTACGCTGCATACAACATAGACGGGATCGATAATTTAATTATGTCATACATAATAACGCACACAGGTATCGCAATAACGCCTAGTCTGCGGGATTGGGGGATGGGTTAAAATCAATACGTCTGTTCCGTTCCCGACAAAATGCACGCTTTTTGATGCATTGAATTTATTGTAGATATATGTGTCATTAATGTACAATAACCTAATAATAAAGAAATATTAAAAAAATTGAAGTGTCTGTCTGGAACATAGAAATAACTGGCTTATTTTAAGCTCAGAGAGTTATTTGCTTGGTTTGATTGATTGATTGAGACTTGAGACATGAAAAGCGTTTTTTAAATTTTTGTTAGTCTGTCCGAGCTAATCTTCGGAATGGGACTGATTGCGATGAAATTTCTAACAAATAGGGAACAATATCAGCAGCGATCTAGGCTTTTATTTCTAGATAAATACGTGTTTTTTGACAAATCGAAAAACTGATTAATTAAATATGAATGATGATGACTAATTTGAAGATATGAATAAACCATTTTTAAAATCTTTGTGTCTGTCAGTCTGTCCGGGCTAATTTTCGGAATGGCTGAATTAATTGCGATGAAAATTATTTCGTACACAAGGTGATCGTGATTAAAAGTGCAAAAGGATGCAACATCTCTTCGCAGCGCCAGTGAATCGAGCCAATCAGAAAGTACTCGGTTGTCTAAGATTCGATCCGCTGTTCAATGGATGCGGTCAAGTGTAAGGAGCTGGCACTGGGGTGCCTCGGCCCCGAAGATGAGAACAGTATTCCATGTGAAGCCAAACCTTCGCCTTGGAAAGTTGCAAGCGTGTGCCGGCATAAAATATTGTCCCGCTCTACTAAAGCCGCCAAGCTTTTTAGAGGCCAATTTAATCTTCCCGTTCACGAAGTGACCGCAAAATTGTACGAAGTCGACGCCGAGGATTCCAATGCTGACTGACGCGCACCAAGGGGAGTGATTGTGGAGATACGATAAAGAGGTTCTTTCTAGCAGTATGCGCAAACCTGACGTCGTTTAGTTTATACTGAATTAGATTTAGTTGTCACCAATCCGAAACTTTGTTTAACAATGACTCGACTTCAGACATAAATTTGTTTCAGTACTCAACGACGTGATCCCGTGAAATATTAGCATGGCCTGTGTAAAGAAAAAAACATGACCAGTGCTGATGTCCGAATGGCAATGAATGATAATAGTTTACAACATATCATTGATATGCACAAGAAATAGCGTAGGTGATAGCCAGTAGAACACCAGCATTAATAGGTTTATAGTCGGAGCTTTCACGTCTACTGCCACCCTGATGCTTCGATCTGTAAGAAAACTGGTGATCCAATTGCACAATTTCTCGGGAAGCCCATAGAAAGGAAGGTTCAAAAGAAACGCTTTGTGCTAAACCCAATTGAAGGCTTCATCTAAACTAAAGGCGAAGGTCTCCCCCTAGAAGAGCACCAGCTTAGCGACCCCGACGGAAGCCGTACAGATGATCACTAATCAGCTTGTGGTCCTCAGGGTACTTCATAAGCTGGCACGTTATAATGGATTCCATTATTTTGAAGAACGATGATCTGATAACAATAGAACCGTAATTGGATGGGTTTGAGTGATCACCATTTTAGAACTCGGGTGCACCAAAGCTGTCTTCAATGAATTCGGGACTACGCCTAGAAAGTAGAAGTAACGGAAAGGACACGTTAGGATCGGTGCCAACTACGGAGCATAGGTTTTCAGCACAATAGGAGTGATGCTTTGAGCACGGGCGCCGTGTAAACCGTACTTCCAGCATTAAGCACTCACACCGCGGAATGGCCGGGGCGGTGTTCCCCCAGTCATCGAGAGTTGAGCTACACGAAAAAAGAGAGCCTAAAATCCTCCGTTTGCACAGGGAGGAAATCCTCCCTGTTTGCACAGGGAGGATTTTGGGCTCTCTTTTTTCGTTTTTGGAGTTAGGAGTTGGAGGAGACGGCTGACAGTAGTTTCCTTGGTCATCCTTGGCGAGAGACAAGAATATGCGAGTTACCGAAGGAAGGTTTCTAGCGAATTCTGTCAATGTGCTCTGACTTAGCGTAGGCAATTACTCCTTTAAAGCATCCCGACGAGTCAATGCGTCAGCCCAGGCCCGGTAGCACCTCTATGACGTGATGCAATTTTACAAGAGCGACCAAACCGTGGCTGGGATCTGCATCCAATGGGTACCATAGACGATGGAATAAAAAGTTCATTCCCTGAAGTACATTAGCTACAGAATCAGCAAGAACTTTGATATCATCCGGTGAGAATAAAACAGAAAAGTAGGAATAAGTAGTTGCAAAGGAATAACATAATGTAAAGTATTTTATTTAAAAAAAGTGAAAGAAAAAGCAAATTTAGAATTCCAAGTCAAACCATAGCCAAACTAAGAACTCACGGAGCTATAGGTATTTAAGCGCCATCAGCGGTAGAGTAATTGCAATTTTATTTTAAAACTCACCAGACTGCAGTTTTGAGCGTATTAAAGGCCACTGGCCTGGTATCGTGTATATATAGTATCGCTTCTCACTAAAAACGTTTAGTGAAACGACATATCACTAAACATTTTTAGTGAGAAGACGTAATAAACTAGAATATTCGACATCTTCCATGATTTCGTGGTCTCCCTAGAGAACTCTTTTTTCTTCTTTCTCTCCTTGAAAATCGAACTCTTTGCCAATATCAATGTGTATGTATTTTAATAATTTGTCATTTGTTTACGATTTAACGAAAACATGTAAAGCAGTTGCTCCTGTCTCTCTATGGTTGCGTATGATGGCTTTTCATCAAACTATGAGAGTGAGGTAATAGATAGTGCTTCCAGATACACAGATACTTAGTTTCCATCGAGACTGACCACCGAAATTCAGAACTTCAGAACAGAATAGGAAGACATTATCTTTATATATAAAAATTACGTGTCACGTTGTTTGTCCGCGATGAACTCCTAAACTACTTTTTTTTTATAGGAGAGGAGAGGGGGCAAACGAGCATGCGGCTCACCTGATGGTAAGTGACTACCGCCGCCCATGAACAACCGCAACACCAGGGGAATTGCAGTAGTATTGCCGGCCTTTTAAAAAGGAGTAGGCTCTTTTCTTGAAGGTCCCTAAGTCGTATCGGTCCGGAAAAATCGCTGGTGGTAAACTATTCCACAAGGAAGTTATGCGAGGAAAAAAACATCTTCTAAATCACACAGTGGTAGACCGCTAATCATCCAGATGGTGTGGATGGTATCGGGAGTTCTGCCGCGATGTGCGTTCGTGAAATTTGGCGGCTGGGATTAATCTGAACAATTCCTCAGAGCACTCCCCATGGTAAATGCGAAAGAAAATGCAAAGAGATGCAACATCTCTCGCAGTGTCAATGAGTCGAGCCGATCGGAAAGGACGCGGTCGTCGACGATTCGAGCCGCTCTGCGCTGGATGCGGTCAAGTGGAAGGAGCTGGCACTAGGGAGCCCCAGCCCAGAGATGGGAACAGTATTCCATGTGAGGCCGAACCTGCACCTTGTAAAGTTGCAGGCGTTGAGCTGGCATGAAATACTGTCCCGCTCTGCTGAGCACGCCAAGCTTTTTAGAGGCCAATTTGGCCTTCTCTTCCAAGTGACCACGAAATTGCACGTCACTCGATATGTCGACGCCGAGGATTCCGATACTGGCAGAGGCAACAAGGGGAGTACCTGAGGAGATACGACAAAGGGGTTCTTTTTTAGCGGTAAACGCGCAAACTTGTGTCTTCTGAGGATTAAACTGGACTAGATTTAGTCGCCCCCAATCCGAGACTTTGTCCAGCAAAGACTCGACTTCAGACACAAGTTTGTTCCGGTACTCGGTGACGTTTTCCCGAGAAATATTGGCACGGTCGGTATATTGAGCATCACTGAACACTATCATTGAGCAGTGCTGTCATCCGCATAGCAATGAATGGCTACCGGCTTGCAACATATCATTGATATGCAGAAGAAACAGCGTTGGTGATAGCACGCAGCCTTGTGGAACACCAGCGTTAATAGGCTTGTAGTCGGAGCATGCACCGTCTACAACGACCTTGATGCTCCGATCTGCAAGAAAGCTGGTGATCCAATTGCATAATTTCTCGGGAAGCCCATAGGGAGCTTCGAAAGAAGCGCTTTGTGCCAAACCCGATCGAAGGCCTTCACAATGTCCAAACTAACGGCCAATGCCTCCCCCTTGGATTCTACTGCCTCTGCCCATCTATGAGTTAAGTAGACCAGAAGATCACCAGCTGATCGACCCCGACGAAAACCGTACTGGCGGTCACTAATCAGCTGGTGATCCTCAAGATACCGCATGAGGTGGCAGTTTATAACGGATTCCATTATTTTGGAGAATAAGGGGGTGATGGCGATAGGCCTGTAGTTGGACGGGTCTGAGCGGTTGCCTTTTTTAGGGATCGGGTGGACAAAAGCTGTCTTCAATGATTTCGGGACTACGCCTAGGGAGTAGAAGTACCGGAAAAGACGCGTTAGAACCGGTGCGAACTCCGGAGCACACGTCCTCAGCACAATTGGGGGGATTCCGTCAGGCCCACTCGACTTGTGGATGTCAAGGGAGAGGAGTGCTCTGCGAACCGAGCGCTGTGAGAACCGCACATCCGGCATGGAGCACTCACACCGCGGGATGTTCGGCGGTGTGTTCCCCCCGTCATCAACAGTCGAGTTGGACGCAAAAAGGGAGCCTAAAAGGTCGGCTTTCTCTTTTGCGTCGTGGGCCAGTGAGTCGTCCTCCCTGTGCAGAGATGGTAGTGATGGCTTACAGAAATTTCCTTGGACAGCCTTGGCGAGAGACCAGAATGCACGGGTTCCCGAAGGAAGGCGAACTTGTTTCTGGCCAATTCTGCCTATGTGCTCTGACTTTGCCTTGGCAATAACTCTTTTGACAGACCTGGAGGCGAAGTTATACTTCTTTTTAAGTATGCTGGTGTTTAAATCCCGAGTCGCCGAAGCCGCAGCCCAGGCTTGATAACACTCCTGTTTACTGCGTAAAGCAGTCTTACAGGAGCGACCAAACCAAGGCTGAGATCTGCCTCCGATGGGTACCACAGATGATGGAATAAATAGTTCCATTCCCTGTAGCACCACATCAGTGACAGAGTCAGCAACAGCGCTGGGATAATCCGGCGAAAAGCAAACCCGCCCCCATGGGTAGGAAGCAAAGAAAGACCGCATTCCGTCCCAATCCGCCGACCTGTAATGCCAAACACGGCGGCAACCTGCAGAACGCAACCGCGAGGGGAGCGTGAGTGGCACCACACTCCGGATCAGACAATGGTCCGAAGAGCCAAGAGGGGCATCGACGGAAACCTGATATCCGTCCGGATGAGAGGTCAGCAGAAGGTCCAACAGGGAAGGTGTATGATCCTCAACATCTCGAATCCGCGTAGGCGATGTAACCAGTTGTGTCAGACCATATGCCAAGGCAAAGTCATAAACAGATCTCCCCGCATGATCGGTTAAAATCGCCAAGGATCACGATCTCTGCGGATGGGACCTGTTGTAGCAAGGAATCTGTAGCCATTTGGACGTGGTCGATGAGTCGGTCTGTTTCGGCATTACCGCTATGGGACCTATAGAGGCACACGTAGACGCGCAGATGGTCGTCGCTGTCTACGCGTAGCCAAAGGATGGACAGGTCCGAACCTTCAAGACTGCCGAGGCGTCGAGAACATATGTCCTCTCAGACATACACGCAAACTCCAGCCCAAGGCACAAAGGAGTGCTCCAATTTGTACCCCGGGCAGGAGAGATACGAAGTATCAGCCGGAGAGGACACCTGCGTCTCGGCCAGAAAGGGCAAGGCCGGCTTCTCCGTCTCGAGATGGTACTGGACGGCGTTTAGGTTCGAGTGAAGTCCCCTGATGTTGCAGAAATTCACGGATAGCGTGGCAAGGGTCGCCTTGGTCTTGTTGCTCAGTTTGCCGCGAGCAGTTATTGTGTTGAGCGGAATTTTGCCCCCCCACCCCCAGAATACGCGGGGCAGCCTGAGCACCCACGCTCAGGAGTGGAATAGCATGGTCGAGGATGCTCAGCGAGGGATTCTCCAGGGGTACTGGTACTCCTGGGGTAGTTTATGATGTAATTCCGCTACCATGTTGATGGGGGGGGGGGGGGGGGGGGAATTGGGCCTCCGGTCACCCGCACTCACCAGACGAAACGCGGAAGCAGAGCTTCCACTTCACGCCGGTATTCTGCGAGGTCGTGGTATTAACAATTACTGAACTGATTTCAATAAAATGACCAAACTGCACAGAGTGTGCAGTTTGGTCCAACTTGAGAGATAGGATAGTTTTTATCCTGATATATGACACTCAATATTTTTTTATTAGGAATTTAAGGATTTTTTATATGAAGGGTCGTCGAAAAGGGCAGAACAACGTCTGCCTGGTCAGCTAGTTTTAATTTTATATAACCTTTCATTTTATATAATTTATATCTTTGAATATTTGAGTTTAGCTCTACTTGAGTGAACTTCAAAACTACTTTTTAATACGGCATTATTAAGCATAGTAAAATAAAGGCAAAATGCTTAAAATAAAGTTCTCTCTTATCATCTTTCAGATGACAAGAAAGGAGTTGAGTTGATAAAGACCATTTTTCGCCCATCGGCCACTTGATGTGACTTATATTTAATTTAATAGTATACCTAATGACAAACATGAAAAAAATGTTTAATGAAGATTCTATTAATGATGGGATAAATAAAACAATTATATGGATATTTTTCACATTTATTAATGTGAACTGACTATTATCGTTCATTTTAACACCAATCATCATCATCATTACAACCCTTTACAAGTCCACTGCTGAACATAGACCTACCCCAAGGAATGCCACAAAGCATGGTCCTGAGCCACCTGCACTTGACTGACTTTCTGCATGGCTTACTATGTCGTTACTCCATCTAGTGGGGGTCACCCTACACTTCGCCTACCGGTACGAGGTGTTGACACTCGAGTACCTTTTTTCCCCATCGGTAGTCGATTCTTCGAACTATATGGCCGCTCCTCTCCATAGCTCGCTGAGCGACCATGAGCTTCCTCATACGGCCAGCAATGAAGGACCACGTCTCAGTTCCATAAGTCATCACTGGCAACACGCACTGGTTACAGGTTACTGGTACAGTCTCGTTTTCAAGTTTTGAGGTATACCTGACTAGAAGATGTGTTATAATTCCCCGAACGCTGCCCATTCGAGTTGAATCCGTCGATTGACCTCTCGGTCGAAGTTGGACTTACCTAGTCGGATTATTTACATACTCATCAATAACTTCGAGGTTAGTGTTCCCAACAACTACCGGCATAGGTGTGACATGGACGTTATACATGATCTTTGTTTTGTCCATGTTCATCTTAAGACCTATCCGTTGGGAGGCACTATTGAAGTCATTGACCATAGTGCTTAGGTCCTCCAACGATTCTGCCATTAGGGCTATATCATCGGCAAATCGAAGGTGAGTGATGTACTCGCCACTGATGTTAATACCGTATCCTTTCTAGTTCAGTAGCTTGAACACGTCTTCCAATGCAGCGATGAAGAATTTCGGGGATATAACGTCACCCTATCTTACACCTCTCTGCAGTTGGATAGGTTTGGTACTCTGGTTCTGTACTCGGATAGCCATCGTAGCCCTAATGTACAAACACTTCAGCACTTCGATATACCGACAGTCAACTTGGCACCGCTGTAGTGACTGCAGCACCGCCCAAATTTCGACGGGATCAAAGGCTTTCTCATAGTCCACATATGCAAGACATAGTAGCAAATTGTACTCCTCGGTCTTCTGTACAATTTGCCGAAGGCTATGTGGTCTATGGTACTAAAGCCTTTTCGGAAACCGACTTGTTCGGGAGGCTGGAAGACGTCGAGTCTGCGTGCGAGACAATTCGTAATGACTCTCGAAAACAGCACGTAGTCGCGCCTCAGAAGAGAAATCGGTCTGTAGTTCTTCAAGAGAGCATTTTACACCAAAATAAATTGTAATTAAGACACTAAATGAGTTGCGGCAACGAGGTATTGATAAATGTATATTAGGTTTCTTAATGGTTTCGGCGATGTTACTCGTACTTGTTGAAGCAAGAACTCTTGTTTTCCCTACGGAAGATGAAATAGAAGTATTTTGAGACCGAACCACACGAAAAGTATATAATCTGCATTTAGAACACAACTTAGAACCATTCTGCAGATCACAGATTTTAGAACTTCTAAGTATCGATATAATTTTTCTATTAGTACAGATTCGAAAATCACTATTTATTTTTCGCTATGTTTTACAACAATCACATTGGTTTCCAGGCACTAGTATCAAAGTTTTTCAAAGAACACACGTAATAACCACTTTAAGAAAATAATTTTAATATTTACGATATGTAAATACTAGTAACAAGACACTGCGCACTGTCTCACTTGCATACCGTCGTGTGACATATATTTATACATATATTGTGTAGAAGCTCACAGTAAACCAAGATAAAAAAAACTACTCAGATATAAGCTGCAAGAGTACTAACCGTGTAATTCACAGTCAATGTGGTTAATGGAACACTTCATTAAAAAATATAATTCAAAGAAAACAACAAAAACGTACAAGAAAGGCTCTTCAACCGACTTCAAAAAGGAGGTGGTTTACAATTCGTCGTAATATTTTTTTTTAAGTATGTTCGCCGATTACTCGAAGACGCCTGAACCGATTTGAAAACTTCTTTTTGTTGTTTCAAACGGTATACTTCCCAGGTGGTCCCATTTAAATTTTATCAAAATCGGTCAAACGGTTTTTAAAAAATCAACAATAAATTATATTTATATTGAAGTCAGTAGTACAAATTTTTTAATTTTACCACTTGTTGGGCACAAGGACAATAATTTCTATGACTTACTATATTATTTATTACGTATATTACAGAAAACAAAAAAATATATATCTTTAACTATACAAAGGTGTTTAAAAATATTCTGAAATGGGATTTTGTGAGTGTGATGGGTGAAAAAAGGTCCTTATCAACCCACCTCCTATCCTGCTTGTCTATTCACATAGATACATTGAAATCGAGTTCTTCATTCAATACAGCCATATAAAGTGGCCCAACAAGTTTTGTGAGTTAGAATGATATTTAAATTCTTAGTAAATTAATTAACGTCATGAAAGTGATGACACGAGCATTCGCTAGTCAGAAATAAAGTAAGTAGAACAATGACTTACATCCCTGCCTCCAGTCAAGCCTTTAACTTGAAGAAGTTCAGCGGTATGAAGAAAGGCAAAAAGCTCCTGCTGCCTAACATGAACCTCACCACGGTACATGAACTGAAGGAGCTGGCGCAGTTCTTGATGTGCAACATCCTTTAAGATTACAATAGGATGTTCGCAGGGGTTCATCTGCCAATAGAAAACATAACCTTAGCTAAGAGAAAAAACAGCATTAATAAAGTAGATAACACTGTCAATAACAAATAATGATAACATACATCAGAATCTGCTATTTTAGTAGTATGATCATTATCATCATCATTACCGCCCATCAGTCATTGCTAAACATAGGCCTCCCCTAAGGAAAGCCACAAAGCATGGTCGATCACATCTATATATATATATATAGGTGTGATTGATAATGACAACCTGGTAAGACAAGCAGGAAATTGATGGATTTGGGTGGCTCAGGACCCCGTACTTTGTGGACTTGTGAAGGGCTGTAATGATGATAATGATGAAGATATATAAGCAAATTATCACTGATTCACTCATCATGAGTTCTCCAAAACTATTTTCCCGATTTACTTGAAATTTGGCATATATATATACTCTTTTCTCGACGTAGACACCCACTAAGAAAGGACTGGAAAATTGCTAGAAAAAATTAACATGTCTAGATATACTAGCTTATCTCTATTTATCTTCCAAGATTTTTGATGAAATGTCTATTTTAAAATATATTTCTTTATACCAGGGCTAGCATGACCGAAAAATTATGGATTATAATGATTAAGGTTTCTTTGTATTTCTTAGTTGTCAAAACAATACTTTTGGTTATACAAACAGATATTTTTGGTTACCAATATAATTTCAGTAATATAAAGGTTATAAAAAGGTATAACAATACACCTAAAAATAGCATTACTGTTATTTTATACTGGTGGCTTATCGGTAAATTTTAACCGCTTTCGGTCCACCTTTAAAGAATAGCAATATCAATATTTTGTACCAGTTATCGGTAGCCTAACCTCATACCTTAACTGCAATCTAAGCAAATCAAGCCCTGCTTTAAAATGATTGATATCAAGTCCTTTCATTTCTAGGTGTATTACCATTATTAATGATAAGGTAACAACCTTCCAATTTAACAATAACATAATAAATACTATTATTAACTTTAAATTGATCCTATAATATCCTATATATCTTAATACAATTTACAATTATTGTAGTATTTGCTAGAGCAATTTAGATGAATTTAGAATTTTGTATTAAGATAATGTTTTCATCCAAGTTTATCGAGAAAAATGAATTGCTAAGAAAGTTCTTTTATAAACAAATAGTTAAATAATTTTTTTCTAGCTCAGTTTTCCAGTTTGATTTCCTATTACAAACTTTATTGTACAACTGTTTTGTTACTTCAGTGTGAAGGGTAAGAGAGCTAACATTATTACAAGTCACGAGGAATTTCACTTTAGTCCTTATCAATAACACATCTGTGACCTTAATGAGAAGGTGGTAGTGGGTAGGTATACATAATCCACAGAAACCACTTACCATCAGGAAAACTATTCGGTTGGCTATAGACATCCGGTACTTGAGTTTTTAGGTGATTTTCCAGATTTTACTAAAAATTGCGTATAAGAAACGCAAATATGTCAATTTGGTCTAGTAGTATGAAGTAGACTTCCGGTTCTTGATTTTAATTATATTTTCAGTTTAAAAGGCTAGTCAGGGTTAAGCTTAAGCCTTTTACACTGCTTATGGATGTCGGAAATGTGTTTTGAATTAATTACAATAAAAATAAGTTTCACTAAAACTTGCTTATAACGAAATACAAATATGTCAATTTGGTCAAGTACTACAAAGCATAGACGACGAGTACTTGATTTTAATTATGTTTTCAGTTTAGGAGGCTTGTCAAAGTTGAGTTTTGGATTTTGGAAATGTGCTTTGAATTAATCACGTTGAAAATAAATTTTTCAAACTAAAAATTGCATGCAATCAGACAGGTCACTACATACATGGTCATACAATCCACTTGTTGCTGAAGAGGGGACTCATGCACAACAATTTGAGTTGCAGTGGAGAGCTTCACATTACATTGTTTCATTTACCACTATCATAGCAGAGTTTAGGGCAACCTGACTTTATAGATATGATAGGTTAAATCTGTACTAAAACCGAATGAGCATGCCCTAACTCCACATAGTCTGGTCTGCCCTACCCCTAGTATTTTTGCAAAGCCGTAGGCGTGGAAGGAGAAAAGCCCCCACCCACTGTAGCAAATTGCAGGCACCTGTGTGAGAATTGGAGGCTGGTACCGATAAGCCGAAGCTGTGTAGGTGGGCTCACTTCCACAGCTTTGACTCACAGCAAAATTGCTACGCAAGGGCAAAACTGTTGCACTGGGTTGGGTATAGATATCCGGTACTTGATTTTAATTATGTTTTCTGTCTAGGCTTTTTAGGGCTTAGCATGAACCTTCTACACTGTTTTTGAATGTTGAAAATGCATTTTGAATTAATTACGATAAAAATAAATTTCACTAAAAATTCTGTATAACGAAACACAAATATGACAATTTTGTATAGTGTAGATGTAGTGTTAAACGGGACGATGTTGACGGCCATGTTTTGGGCAACCGTAAATGTCAAATATAATATATTATCTATGATGTCAAATGTCAATTGTCATTCCGTTTATCTTGTAGTAACGTGAATGTTCTCTCTTGTGCTTAGTGCTGTGTTTTCCCTGTTTTTTCGACAACTCTATCATAGCAGAGTTTAAGGACTCCTGACTATATAGATAATATAGGCCGAATCTGTACTAAAACTGAACCAGAACATCCCGAATCTACGTAGTCTTGTCTGCTCTACCCCTAAGAGTGTTTTTGTAAAGCTGTTTGCGCGGAGCAAGATCAGCCCCTGCCTGCTGTAGCAAATTGCAGGCCACTGAGTGAACCGTAGCGGCTGAGGCTGGTCGCTGAATGTGACCAATAAGCCGAAGCTGCAGAGGTGAGCATAGGTGCCTATGATTTGCTACGCAAGGGCGAAGGGGATGCACTTCCCGCAGTGCCGAAGCCGTTGCAGAAGTAACTTTGTGTCAATATTCCTGTGTAAAAAAATAAGGTTATGATTTTACAAAAAAATTATTACTCATAAAATATAAATTTCCGCAAGGGAAGAAGGGTAGGAGCGGATTCCACAGAACCCTCCCCCTCTCCCCTCCACATCCCAACACCGTACGCGAGTACCATATGTCTATACTTTAACCGTTGCACTTCCCACAGCACGGAAGCCATTGCAGAAGTAACTCAGTCAATATTCCTGTGTAAAGTGAGATTATGATTTTACAGAAAAAATTATTACTCATAAACTATACATTTCCACAAAGGGGGAAAGCTAGAGGGAGCTTCCAATGAATCCTCCCCTTTCCCCACCACCATACGCGAATACCGGATGTCTATAGTTTTACCAAACTATTAGCTTGCTTATAATCAAATATTAAAGAATCAAATATATATTTTACAATATATTTAAGGTAAATAATTATATCAATATATTTTTTAATGAAATTAAGGTTTATATTTACAAATATGTAGCTTAAATAATACTAATTACTGCTAATTTTAATGTTTTAAATTGGTGAATACAATATGCACTTTATGCATATTTATATTTTTAAAAACTAAAGAAGGTATCAATTTAAGAAATTCTGTATTGATGTACATCCCAATTGAGTTATTCAATTATTAAGAAATTATAGTGTACAAAGGTCATATTTCCTATTATTAAAGCAATATTGGATACACAGACAAACAAAACAAGACTAATGCGAAATAAATTTTGAACAGTCTTTGTTAGAAATAAGTAAAATACAATAGGTGAAGCTTATAATAGTAATAACTGAATAGTGAGTCACACCTTAAATAGCTCTTTGAAGTAGGGACTGCAGACGGATAAGATGAGCTTGTGCGCTTGGACGTACTGTCCTCCCGCCGCCAACGTCACATCTACCAGGTCTTCACCTTCCAACAAAGCTTGGAAGGACTGGGACAGATTTGCATGGAAATCGTTCCAACGCAAAGAAAATTGCTCCGACATCGCCATTTCGCTCTGAAAAACGTCATGCAACTCTCAAAAATGCAAACACCCGTAATATGCGACTAACTGTACACCCAACTTTCAGAACATCTATACGCGTCTGCACAATGAAACATAGCACTTACTGAAAACTAAACACAAATTCACAATTCGAGACTTATTTGTGTCGATTTACATTTAGAAACGTTCGAAACCGTAAATAGACATGTTAACGACAGCACTCACAAATTATGATTTTATAAATTGGATTAAATAGTATCGACCTCAGTGACTGGCATGGCAATACACGAATAACATCAAAATGTCGCTCGTTCACAACGCACTGTTCATTGTCCAACAAACTTCATATGAAATTTAGGCATGAGTCCGATATATCAAAACGTAACTAATAACGTTATGTTATCAAAATATCACATCATAGCGATAAACCTAAGTACATAACCGTTATCACATATCCAACCAAACTCAACTAACCAACGTTCGAAACGAAAAAGAAAAACGGAAACTGGAACGATATGCCAACGAACTAACCGATGTTCTTCGTTGATATTTGTTGTTTCTCGTTCTTGCGACGGTATCATAAATACGTATAGAAAGAGATGAAGCGGTGACAACGGTGCACGTAATGAAATATAAGTACCTAAAGCAATAATATCGAATATTAAATGGTTAAAATTGCCTAATTTTTAAGTTTGTGTAGTTGTGAGAGTTGTCAAATTTAAATGATCTTTAGGGCATTAGACACAAGACTTAGATTTATATAAGCACATATTTGGTTTAAGCAACTTAATGTCTATGTTTTGGATGGAAAGTTTAGAATTTGAATTTTTTTCAAAACGCAACAATTATAGATTTTGAAATCAAACTTTGATCCTACGCGTCACTTTGGAAAAAATGGTTTTAAGCATTAGAGAAATAAATAAGGATAAAAAGAACGTAATTGTAGACATTTAGAACCTCTGACTTCTAAACTAAAATACATAATCTAAGTAATTAGGAAAATAAATGTTGCACTGGTTCTACAGTTCGTGGTTATGTTTCGGTTATCGCTTGCGCATTCAGTAGCAAACTATTACTACTGATATCGATATTTGAAAATAATTTTCAATAACGATATGAGAACCGTTTTAGCTAAAAACGGAAAACGCTCATCCTTACTTGATAATCGATAGACAAATATTGCCTATTAAAAAAAAAAGAAAACTTAAAGGCCTATTACACTATGCAGTATCAAGACAGTCTAGCGTTTATTACATTATTCAATTTTTAGGAAATCTAATTAGGAACCTAAGTTGGAAGCTAGTGATAACATTACACTTAATTGAATTCTAAATCGTGACGAAGCACATTCGTAAAAGAAGTATCGACGGGGTAGCACGTTTGATCGATGGCGCCATATTTATCAAAACAGCAGAAAATAGGACTTGCCTTAGCCGTGGTAGGAACAATGGATATGTCATTGTTCCCACCACCATTGGTAGAGCCATGCTGCAGCTATATTAGTAGTATAGTTGTAGCACGAATGGCCCGGCTCGACCGATGAAGGACCACGCAAATAGCAAGCTTAACGTTGCTGTGTTTCGTATGGTGAGTGTAGAGAACCGGAGACACTTTTACTAGAAAACAGGCAATCCATCTTAATCGTGAGGATTGGGTGACAACGCATCTGCATTTTGATTCGCAAACGAGGATAAATGTAGATGTCTATGGGCCACAGCAACCACTTACCATTACCGGACTGTGTGTTCGTTTGCCACCCTATCCTATAAAAAAATTATTAAATAATTTAAAATTAAAAATTTTGTACAGCCGACTTCAATATAAGTTATTTAGTATTTAAGAATAACTTAAAAACTATTGGTCTGACCTTGATCAAATTCATATGGGACCACACGAGAAGTACCAGCTTTCAAATAAAAAAAGAATCATCGAAATCGGTTCACCCAGAAAAAAGTTCTGAGGTAACACACATAAAAAAAAAACGAAAAAAAAAACATACAGTCGAATTGAGTACCGGCTCCTTTTTGGAAATCGGCAGAAAAAGAAAAAACAGAAAATGCTGGGTTAAAGAATACTTGTCATTGAGAAAAAAACTGCCCAATACATTGAGTTATATGTACTACGTACTAGACTAGAGAAGCCTTTCTAAACAAAAAATATGTACTAGTCTATGTCTTCACGCATGTGCGGGAGATAGTAAAGTCGCGCATGCGCAGTTAGCTTTAAGATTAATAGCGATAGACAGATTTAAGCGCGTTGATCCTGTGCGGTCAGTTTATATAAAAGAAATATATTTTTTCATGATTTTTTCTTTTATAATATTACGATATTATTACCTATTTATTCATTTGAACAATAAACAATTTTACTTACTTGACTACTGAATTGTTATTTATGTCCAGGTTTAATTTGAAATCTTGTATTATTAGCGCCGCTCCACAGTGCATGAATATTGAAACCACAGACTAACTAGTAGACTGAAACCACACAAAATGACACACTGTACGGATTGCAGTACAGTTCAGTTGAACATAGTGTATGTTCGGAATGCGCAATCTAGTAAGTAGTATAACCTGTCCGAAATATCTGCGAACCTCGCTGGAATGCGCTTCCCCTCGCGCTTCCCCGCACCTCCGCCCGTTATCGTCTATCCAGTACCGTTGCCATCTCTCCATATTGCATGACGTCATCAAGCCAGGTTCGCAGATATTTCCGCCCGTTATCGTCTATCCAGTACCGTTGCCATCTCTCCATATTGCATGACGTCATCAAGCCAGGTTCGCAGATATTTCCGACAGGTTATACATACATATCGATGGTTCAATATGAATATAGTGCATATTTTGGAACCTGGCGACTTTAAAAATTTTTTAAGAGTTGATTCGAAGCAATTCATTATTTGTTAAGTTTGGTATCCAAACATATTGAAAAAGAAGTCACGATATTTCCAGAAAGTGTGAGTGCCAAAGAACTTTTGATGGTGACATTACGTTTTCTAACCACCGGAAATTCATATTAAGATTTAAAGTACTGCTCTCTGATATCAGAACCGCTTATATCAAAGCTTATTCCAGAAACATACTGAGCAATATACAAATGTTTGAAAAATTACATTCAGGTGAGTTAATCTATCTTAATATATAAAATTCTCGTGTCGCGGTGTTTGTTACCAAACTTCTCCGAAACGGCTGAACCGATTTGTATGAAATTTTGTGTGCATATTGGGTAGGTCTGAGATTCGGCCAACATCTATTTTTCAAACAAAAAAATATATTTTAAAAGTAAAAAATATTTCCCAGACATAATGTATATGGTAAATCAACGTTTCCCGGGTCAGCTAGTAATCTATAAATAATAAAATCGTGAAGGTTCGCTCTCTGTACAATGAAAATATTGGGAAAAAATGCGTTCAGGGTAACTTGAGACCGGTAACAGAATGCATCGACACCATTTTTAGAATTTTTATCTGTGTGTATGTTTATCTGTCTGTCTGTTTGAACACGATAAACTCGAAAACTACGGAACCGATCTATATTAAAATTATAATAGGCAGAAAAAATTTAAGAAAATCCTTCTAAATATTATTAACCAGGCGAGGACCTCAGATGCAGTAAAAAGTTAGTATGTAAGACATCCGCTTAGATCAAAGCGCGGGCGCCGACTGGTTGTTCTAAATCGTAACGTTGCGATTACACTGTCCAAAATTGTAGACAATTTAGAAAGTAGAGCGGTCGGGACCTCCAACTTTAACTAAATCGGATCCTATCTGTTCTAACTACGATTACATTTTCCAATTTCCTAATTAGATTTTCTAAAAATTGGATAATGTAATAAGCGCTTAATGTAATAAACGCTTTACTAAGATTTAGCGTAGTGTAATAAGTCTGTCTAATTAGACGGACCGAGTGGGTACGGCCGTGCTTGCTTGCTTTCTTGCTGAATATCGCGTGGTGTAATAAGACTTAGCACGCTTAGACCGTTTAGTGAGCGCGCGGCAGCAGCAGAGTGAAGTTACGTTTTTGTTTGCTTTGGCGTGCACAATGGCTTGCTCAAAAGAGAAGGAAGTGATTTTTAATCTTATTGATGTGTAACGTGACGTTATATGTGGTAGAGCCATGCTGCAGCTATATTAGTAGTATTAGTAGTGTAGCACGAATGGCTCGGCTCGATCGGGGATGGACCACACTCTCACAGAATATCAGCGTAAAATAGCAACTTAACGCTGCTGTGTTTAATTATAAAAAATGCTAACAACACCCGGAATCCGGAAAATTTTGAAAAAAAAAATTAAAACCCTAAATTACACGCGAGAAACAGCTAGTTTAAAATAAAACTTGAAATGAATAATCTGTTCCAAATAAGAACTGACAATTTGGTAGCGCTGAATTGTAGAGATAGTAAATCCCTGTGTTATTTTGATAATAAGAGTGGTCAGAAAGACCAACTGTAGGTTATTGGACAGTATAAAATAAACGTTACTAATTTAATTTTCTAAATATTTTGTTTAAACCATATTTTAAATAAGAAAACTTTTTAAAGATATTAAAAAGAATTGTTTATATTATAAACAATTCTTTTTAATATCTTTCGTAATATTATTTCTCGCCCTCTCACAGATTAATATACTCTTTACGAGAAAGTTCTTTTATCTCTCAAACGAAAGAACTTGAATGGATGCGCTACTAATTGAAAACAGAAATTAAGTAGTCTCTATTACTTCTTATTAGTCTGTGGGTAGTTTCGAAGTTACTTCATAATTGAACCAGCTTTAACGGTCTATATCCAGGTTTTTTATCAACTTAAAGTGAGGATCCGATTCACCAACTATAATTAGAAAACTCAACAGAGTGAAATACAAAGACAGAATACCTATGATTCAAATTTCCAAGTCATATTTATGCGAAAATTTTAATTTTATTCAATAAATATTTACATTGCCAGGCTTTTATTTCAACCGCTGAAATCTAATTTATGACAAATAGGCCACAAATCATAATTATATACAATATTACACCTGCGCACACGCAGACGTTTCACACGTATAAGCCTCACCTGGTGTAGCAAAAAATATATGAATCACTACGTTTACTCTGTAGTATTATTACAGTAACTAGTTATACTGTACTGGAGGTGTGAGATTGATGTATATTGTGCATATAAAACCAATAAGTGTCATACAACGTGTGCCACGTATTTCATGTGCATTTTCGCTCAGGTGCAAATTTTGTATGAACTTGTGTCCACTGGTGGCGGGCGGACAGCAGCGCGACGGAATCTGTTAGCGGATCTTTCAGCGAGCGTAAATTTACATGATCAACGCACGCATAAAAGATGACGGATCCTTTTTCTTAAAAATAATAAAATAAACAAAAAATAATCAATACCTCCATAGAGCAACACTGGCCACCGGTGGATCGGAGGGGAGTAGCCATACGCAGGCGTTTCCCTCTGTCAAAGTATAAGTCCAAGCAGTCTTATAATTTGACAGAGTATGCGTACAATAAAATTAGTTGTGGCCGCACTGCTCACTAGACTAAATCTAGTTGCGCGTCTATAATGATGTTCTACAAGTTTTTTTTTTTGGTGAATAAAAATAGTTCTGCCACGTCAAATTTACAAACAGATGACAACCTTTAATATTTAAGTAATTTTGAACACTTTATAGCTATTTACTTCTTTTCAGACTTAAAAAATTACAATAAAAGCGGTCGCGTTGTTTAGGATTTGCTTACCGATACTAGCCGCTCGCCCTCATAGTCATACAATATGCAGATCGGTTGAGCGACTGATCCGAGTCTGTATGCGAGATGTCGCTTGATGTTTGTCCTTGTGAAATCTATGTATGTAAACTGCCCCCACGATACAGGAGAAAATCCTAGTGTGGAGGTAACGTTTTTTAAAATGAGAGGAAGAGATACAAGTAATGAACACACATAAAAATACAGTCGAATTGAGTACCCCTCCTTTATTTGAAGTTGGTTAAAATGGTAAGTATGAACATTAAGGCGTATTTATACGTTCTTATAATCGTAATTTTTCTTGAATTTGCATATTAACCTTCCTCACATTGAACAATAATTTTACCTTGGTGTATTTTACTATAGTGCGGACGCGAAGCAGGAAGAATTTAGTACTATAACCTGTTATTACCTGTCTCTGTCACTCCCGCGTAAATATAATGCGTCTCGCTGGTGGGGCAATTCAGTGGATATAGTAAGTGTTTAGAGTACAAAAGAAATGTGTGTAAGCCCTTATTTAAAAAGTATTATATCTTGACATTACTATGCTTGTACATTAAAGAAGTATGCCTATTTGTGAAACAACATCCGGAACACTTTGAAAAGCATATAGATGTAAATAAACTAAATGTAGCTCCCATAAGCTCTGTTTACCTCAATGCAGACTCAAATTGTAGAAAAGGAATTCTTATGCTAATACTATTAAGGTATATAACAAATTGCCCAACTCCTTTAAAGAGTTACATTCAACCATGCTTAAAAAAAGTTGACACAATGGTGAAATGAAGAACGTTATTACGACTTCAAGGAATTTATATTTTATTGCGAAAAATAAATCTGACATCAATAAGATTGATACATGGTAATAAATAATTATTTTATGCTGAATAACCATAGAATATATGTACATTAACAATTAAGTACGTTTATTACATAACCTAACATTTTAAAATGTATTGTTACGAGCTTGGGGTTCGAGACAATTAAAAACTGTCGCTTGAATTACCAAAATTGACACTTTGATTACAGAACACTAATAATAAAACACAATTGTACTACTATCACTTTCGTCCGCAGTTGTATCACTTCGAAGTATTCCCTTGTATCGTCAACTCAACGCTGCCTCAGTCGTGGTCTATACCGGCCTTATATAGGGCCTCAGATAGTTTCGAGAACCTTCTACTGTAGAAAGTACATATCGGTCCCGAAATTTCTAGAAGGATCTTGACTTTCCTAGTTCTGCTACTCGATCTTAGAGGGCGCTAGTGGTAACTAGTGTTGCCATGTACAAGACATTAATAGTGGCGCGCAACACTGCCCCCTCCTAAGACATGCTCGTCCCGAGCATTATTGGCCCCATAATAACGCGCCAGTTCATCCGCATGGACGATCGTAGGCGTTTTTCTGGCACCTTTCTGTATCCGGTAAGTTACGTCATTGATCCTTGTCACAATCCGGTACGGTCCGTCCCATTTAGCTTGAAGCTTAGGAGAATTCCCTTTGATGCGAACTGAATTGTGTAACCACACTAGTCAACCTTCGTCAAACCCTTTGTTGTTCATTTTGCGATCATACCGTGTTTTCATCTTCTCAGACGTTTGCTGGCCCGACTGTCTGACGTGCTCATAAATGTCATTCATTTGTTCCGCAAGTCATTTGCATAATCGGTTATACTGCGTGGGGCATCAGGTGGTATTCCGGTGATCAGGTCTGCAGGTAGCCGTAATTTTCTCCCAAAGTTTGCGAAAGCTGGCGTCACTGGTATACTTTCGTGAACAGCGCTTCGATATGACAACAAAAACGGTTGTATGTGCCTGTCCCAGTCTCATTGCCGTTTTTCCTAAACTTTTGCCAGGTACCTCTCCAATGTCTGATTAAATCGTTCTACCGTTCCATCAGATTGTGGGTGCTAAGAAGTTGTTCTTATTTTATGAATACCCATAATTCCGTAAGTTTTCTGGAATATTTGAGACTCAAAATTCCTTCCTTGATCGCTGTGAATCTCTAAAGGTACTCCAAAACGACAGAAGACCTTTCATGAAGTCTTCTGAACTAGTTTATCTGCAACTGTTGAAGCTTCTTGATTTGGAATGGCGAAGACTTCTGGCCCCTTAGTGAAGTAATCCATCACAACCATGAAATACTTGTTACCACTTTCACTTTCTGGAAACAGCCCCGCAACCTCAAGTGCTATCCTCGCCCATGATGCACCAACATTGTACAATTTCAATGCACCTCTGCTACGAGTCTGAGGTCCCTTTACAGCCACACAACTTGTACATTTGCAACACCAGTCCTCGACATCATCACGACAGTAGACCCAGTAAAAACGTTCTCGGATCTTTAGTAGAGTTCGTTTAACTCCCAGATGGCCTCCTGAACAACTAATACGGTACAGCTGTAGAACGTCAGGTACTTTAGCTTTAGGGACAACCATTTGCAAATGGCAACAGTCTCCCCGACCATTCTCCTATTTACGGCACAGGACTCCATCCTGAATCAGCAAGCTGTCCCATTGGGCCCAATAACTTTACGAGGTCGAACTCATCGCTGAGACGTCGCTCCACTTGGGCTTAGGAGCACTGGCCTTCATCCATTCCAGAATCGGCTTGATGTGCGAATCTTCCTGCTGTGCATGTTATAGGCTTCCACTCATTGCTGAGCTGGTCTGTCCTGAGCATCCTCATAGATACCACGCCGCTACGATTGCTTCTCGCCGGATGATCCCAGCGCTGTTGCTGACTCTGTCACTGAAGTGGTGCTACAGGGAATGGAACTATTTATTCCATCATCTGTGGTACCCATCGGAGGCAGATCTCAGCCTTGGATTGGTCGCTCCTGTAAGACTGCTTTACGCAGTAAGCAGGAGTGTTAACAAGCCTGGGCTGCGTCTTCGGCGACTCGGGATGTAAACACCAGCATACTTAAAAAGAAGTATAACTTCGCCTCCAGGTCTGTCAAAAGAGTTATTGCCAAGGCAAAGTCAGAGCACATAGGCAGAATTGGCGAGAAACTAGTTCGCCTTCCTTCGGGAACCCGTGCATTCTGGTCTCTCGCCAAGGCTGTCCAAGGAAATTTCTGTAAGCCATCACTACCATCTCTGCACAGGGAGGGCGACTCATTGGCCCACGACGCAAAAGAGAAAGCCGACCTTTTAGGCTCCCTTTTTGCGTCCAACTCGACTGTTGATGACGGGGGGAACACACCGCTGACCATTCCGCGGTGTTAATGCTCCATGCCGGATGTGCGGTTCTCACAGCGCTCGGTTCGCAGTGTACTCCTCTCCCTTGACATCCACAAGTCGAGTGGGCCTGACGGAATCCCGCCAATTGTGCTGAGGATGTGTGCTCCGGAGTTGGCACCGGTTCTAACGCGTCTTTTCCGGTACTCCTACGCCTAGGGAGGCGTAGTCCCGAAATCATTGAAGACAGTTTTGTCCATCCGATCCCTAAAAAAGGCAACCGCTCAGACCCGTCCAACTACAGGCCTATCGCCATCACCCCCTTGTTCTCCAAAATAATGGAATCCGTTGTAAACTGCCACCTCATGCGGTACCTTGAGGATCACCAGCTGATTAGTGACCGCCAGTACGGTTTTCGTCGGGGTCGATCAGCTGGTGATCTTCTGGTCTACTTAACTCATAGATGGGCAGAGGCAGTAGAGTCCAAGTGGGAGGCATTGGCCGTTAGTTTGGACATTGCGAAGGCCTTCGATCGTATTTGGCACAAAGCGCTTCTTTCGAAGCTCCCTTCCTATGGGCTTTCCGAGAAATTATTCAATTGGATCACCAGCTTTCTTGCAGATCGGAGCATCAAGGTCGTTGTAGACGGTGCATGCTCCGACTACAAGCCTATTAACGCTGGTGTTCCACAAGGCCGCGTGCTATCACCAACGCTGTTTCTTCTGCATATCAATGATATGTTGCAAGCCAGTAGCCATTCATTGCTATGCGGTGACAGCACTGGTGATGCTCAATACACCGACCGTGCCAATATTTCTCGGGAAAACGTCACCGAGTACCAGAACAAACTTGTGTCTGAAGTCGAGTCTTTGCTGGACAAATCTCGGATTGGGGGCGACTAAATCTAGTCCAGTTTAATCCTCAGAAGACACAAGTTTGTGCGTTTACCGCTAAAAAGAACCCCTTTGTCGTATCTCCTCAGTTTCAAGGTACTCCCCTTGTAGCCTCTGCCAGTATCGGAATCCTCGGCGTCGATATATCGAGTGACGTACAGTTTCGCGGTCACTTGGAAGAGAAGGCTTGGCATCGCGAACGATGTAGCAAACTGTTTGGTTCGAATGCGCAGTAAGTCAACAACGAAAGGGTGGAGACTGACCGAACTTCTGGTTGTCCAATGGTGGAATGGAGATGGAGGAATTAAAATTAAATTACCTATGCAATTCCTGCGCACACTCTCCGAAATGCATCCAGTAGTAAACCGAAAAACTGGTTACTTTTCGCCAGTTATTATGATGATGATGATGATGATGAATGATGATAATATATCTAATTTGATATGATAATATGATTGTAATATAAGTCCACTGATTCATATCTACCAACGAGTACCAACAAAACAGATTCCTGGGCATAATTATTTCCATCTTGGACAAGTAATTAATCATCATATATTTTTTTTTATTCTGGCTTTAAGTTAATTTAATGTAGTAGCAAGTTAAAGTGGAGCACTAAATTAATATTAATTTACTTGTCTGCCAAGACGCCTCTCCTTAACAAACTATTAAAAAGTTGGTTCAAAATTTAAAGTCACAGCCTATATATGTCCCACTGCTAGGCACAGGCCTCCTCTCATTTCTGAGAGGGTTTTAGGGCAAAGAAGTCTCCACCGCGCTGTCCCAATGAGTGTTGACGGACTTCACATGTCTTCGAAATATTTATTTTTTACTTCTCTGACATGCAGGTTTCCTCACGGTGTTTTGTTCATCGCTGAGCACGTGGTATATCAGCACTTAAAATTATTGCAATTAACAATTTCATTGGTGCCGGCGGGGATCAAACCCGGGTTGATCGCGTACTATGAAATTTACCGCGAGCGCTAACCATCTAAGCTACCATGGCTTTATTACTTAATAATATATCAACGTAAGCCCTATTATTTGCTTGCCGTACATTAGAAATAAAAAATTCTAAGGATGAAACTTATCTAGATAAATTTGGAAAGTATCATACTAATATATACATCCAAATCGTTAGAGCCGTTTACGTTGTCGAATTAAGCACCTAACACCAAAATATTGTGGAAACGATTACTTAATAAAAATATAGTCAAGGCAACATCGTACACGAAAGTCACCGGCTTTAATATCAAACAACAAACTTCAGCCATTGATATAAGAAAAAAAGGATAAGCAGTAAATTGCATATATATTTTTTGATTATACAAATAAAATGCAAACATGAACCTTGCCAACAAAAATATATCTGTCTTATTCTCACACGTTATGATTTTCAAATGTAAAAAAAGATAAGTACATATCTCAGACTTCAATTTTCTGTTGACAGTTTTCATAATTTCACTAAGCTCCACCTTGAAGCATAACGCCATTTTAGGATGACGTTCATTTGTGGTAGTTCGTCTGTCATCTAAGCCTTGTTCGGAGTTATTTTGCAGTGTTACAGTGAATTTTGACTATTTTTGAGCTTTTTTGTTCATTAGTAAAGGGTAATTGAGCAAAAACAACATGACAAAGTGTTGCATCAATGGATGTAATTCAAATTCTCGTAAAAATTAAGAAGGATTGTCATTTTTCAGGTTAGTTGTAATTTTTTTCCATAATTGTATATTTTTACGTGTGAATTGCGTTTCGTGTTCATGTTATGGGTTCTAAATCGTATTTCCCGCTATTATCTAGAATTTCCAATGACTATTATAATGTAAATTTAAACAAGTAAACATTTTGATTGTTAATATTTTTCCATAGTGCTGCCCTTACGTGCTGTCATGTTTTGAAATTATCGATATAAATTTTAACAATAATATTAATGTAGTCCTATGATCAAATAACGTTTTAGACACGTAAACTGTATATTTAATCAAACGATCGATTGAGAGCCTTTCATTTAAGAAAAGAACTTGAAAATAGTGTAAATCGTAAATTTTCTATAATAGTTTTTTTCATCAAAAGATTTGATGATGTTAAGATTATTTTTGATTGGTACTTAAGGATGCATAATATTTATTTTAGGTTGCCAAAAAATGAAGGCCTTCAAAAATTGTGGATTGATAATATAGGCCAAGAAAACATAAAACCTGCAGTTGTAAGAAGAATATGCTCCTTGCATTTTGAAAAAGAATGTATAAATAGAACGCTGGATGTAGTTCGACTTAAGGGTGCTTTGGTCCATGTGTCTAAAATAAATTTTCTGACTAAATAATATTATTTCGTCACGAATAAATGATTTTAATCAGTATACATTATTGTTATTTTATTTATTTTTAATCCTTACTCTCTCGTTTACCTCCAGTATCCACCACTAATTACGCTACTGGTGGAAGTCATTACAACTTGCAGGTTGTAAACACTATAAAATTGATATTTTGTGGTATTACACAAATGGGATATAATGAGAAATGAGTATGGAAGTGGAAGTCTGAAGTGGCGCAGCCACCCCTATTGATAGAAATGTTGAAATCATACGAAGCCTAATACATTCCCTATAGTGGTGGTTTAGTTAATCTCTGCAGAGGAGAAAAAAAATGCATGCGTCGACCCAGGGACGCACGGATGGAGTGCTTATGTGCAGATTGCCGTCGTTACGAAAAAACGTTAGCTCGTTGCACGAACTCAGTATAATATTCTGGTGCACGTCGTATACGTGTTCTTAAAAGAAAGGAGTTAAAGCTCCAATCAAGTGCTCTTTCCTTGGTCTCTTCGCTCACTTTTGACTGTTGCTTCACCATATCTTAAAGCAATTACAGTTTCAAAACTTTGCTATTCTGAGTTGAACGTAAGATTTATTTATTTATCATCTCAATATAACTATTATTACAGGATTAACCCAATGCAATAGTGTAGTGATCTAATATTTGTTTATTTAATATTATATACCTATGAGATGAACAATACGTCATAATTTATATAGCATCGATACTGAAAATATCGACAAAAACAACGCTATTTGTTGTGGGTGGGGTCGTCGCCATATTTGAGAAACACTTGACTTCAGATCACGTGACTATATGCCACATCCCCTATTTTTCTTATATCTATGACTTCAGCGCATAGATATAAGGCCCGCCACATACATACGGAATCCCGTTTCGAGATTCCGTTTTGGAATTGCGAACGGGCGGCCACACACAAACGGAATCCCGTTTTGCCCGCAAAATATCGAACGGAAAACTACCGTACGTGTGTGGCGGGTAATAGATTTTATATGGACTTGCTGCGTTCGGGATCCCGAATTGCGTTTCGATATTCCGATTCGGAATCCCGAACGCAGCAAGTCCATATAAAATCTATGAGCCGCCACACACGTACGGTCGTTTTCCGTTCGACATTTTGCAGGCAAAACGGGATTCCGTATGTGTGTGGCCGACCCGTTCGGAATTCAGAAACGGAATCTCGAAACGGAATTCCGTATGTATGTGGCCGGCCTTAGTCAGTGGTCAGTGCTTCAGCGGCTGAAGTTCAAAGCCTTTGTCAATTGTCATACGTCTTTTGCACCTGTCAGTGTCATAATCATTAGACGGAGATGTGATGAGTACGTTGCCACATAAGTGTTTTTTTTTCTTTTTATTTACTTTTCTGTGTATGTAGTGTCTAACTGACCATAAATGTGGCAAATTCTTGTATAAAACATAGTTAATAAAACCGTGACGTCCGGTAAGCTAAAACGTATTCACTTGATCATGTTAAATTTTGATATCGTATATTTTTAGCCGTAATAATAACATCATTTTATCGCTATGTCGGGACATAACACGATGAATGACACTGAAGCTGACAGAACGCAACTTGCGAAGAAAATTATAAGCGCAGCATTTTACGCTTTAGCGTCTTTTATGATAACAGTGGTAAATAAAACAGTATTAACGACCTACGCATTCCCGTCTTACCAAGTGCTGGGGTTGGGACAAATGTTGGCAACTATTTTAGTATTGTGGTGTGGCCGATATATGCATGTTGTACAGTTTCCACCGCTAGACAGTGGAGTTGCAAGACGAATCTGGCCCTTACCTCTTATTTATATGGGAAATATGGCTACAGGACTCGGTGGTACTAAAGAACTGAGCCTACCTATGTTTACTGCATTACGGCGATTTAGTATATTAATGACTATGATTGGTGAACGATTTGTACTTGGAGTAAGAGCATCTTGGCCTGTACAAGCTAGTGTGTTGGCAATGGTTGGTGGTGCACTACTAGCAGCTGCTGACGATGTTACATTTTCATGGCCTGGCTACACTCTAGTTCTGTTAAATGATGCATTTACAGCAGCCAATGGAGTTTACATGAAGAAAAAATTAGATTCTAAAGAGCTGGGCAAGTATGGCCTTATGTATTACAATGCTCTATTTATGATTCTGCCAGCTGCATTATTAGCATGGCGTACTGGTGACTTAGAACATTCAGCAGCTTATCCGCACTGGGGTGATACACTTTTTCTGGTACAGTTCCTCATGTCATGTGTAATGGGCTTTGTATTATCTTACAGTGTTATGTTATGTACTCAGTACAATAGTGCTTTAACTACAACTATTATTGGTTGCCTTAAAAATATTTTTGTAACTTATCTGGGAATGATGATTGGTGGTGACTATGTTTATTCTTGGCTTAATTTTGTTGGTTTGAATATTAGTGTCTTAGCTAGTTTACTTTACACATATGTTACTTTTAAGCGTAAGCCAACAATTACTCATTTATCATTAAATGAGGCTAATGCTAAAGTAGATACGGTATAGCATAACTATAAACGAAAATCTGTTAAGTATCCTACATATATTGTTTAGCATTGAAGGTTACTACCAAAGAAGGCTTAAAATTGAAATTTATCGGATATCATTATGTTACTGAAGGTAATTATGAGATATATCAATCAATATTTAAAACTTTATACATGAACAAATTATATTTCTTCTGTAAATGCAAATATAATTTTTATATACTCATTGTACAAGTAAATAATCTTTCAATTCTTTTTCATATGAGTAATAAAAAATTAGTTAAATATGTATTAAAAATAATAAAATAAAAAAGTGGGCAAAAAAATTGCCTACTCACAGCAATAATGTATCTAGTGTACTATAGCCATATTAAAACTTTAACTTTAATTAACAAAAAAAATATTAATTAAGACTAAACATGATAAATTATTGTTTAGTAAAACAGTTCCAGTATAAGCTTAAGTAAATTTTTATTTATAAGATGTTTTTACTTTAAAGTAAAATGTAAATAGAGAATTTGTGTGATGTACATTTTTAGACAAAATATCAGCAATTTTTATGGCATTTATGTAAAATAATTAGAATATTACATGATTTGTAATATTTAGCAAAATAAATATTTTTAAATATATATAGCAGTATTGCAAATATTGTTCTGTCTCTGGGATATATAAATTGCATTTTAATTCAGTACTAAGAGCCTAAGCACTGTACTATTGTTCTTTAATCTACTTAAGACCAAAATGAAAAACAATTTTTAAGCTAAATATAATAGTGAAAAGTACAAATTTTGTATACAATGAATATGGTTAATAAATAGTGGCAAATTGGGACAAAATTTTCAATGTAACTTATTTTCAAACCACTTTATGACATATGTATGTGTTTATATAGGTGTTACTATTTTTTTTAACCATTATCTCATACTTGTTCTGGGTCTGGATGTTCATCCTTGTGCAATTTATGTCTGTAAACTGCCTCCACGATGAAAATCAGGAGATAATCCTAGTGTGGGGTGTGGGTAATGTTTTTAAAACAAATTTAAAAAAAATATTGATTTCGTTGCTTTCATATATTATACCAGTTGACTACATGTTGGTATTTGTATATTACTACTGTCACTACAATAAATATACATAGAAATGCTAAACTATTTTTTGTTAAATCATCATTATCAGTCTTAGATTGGAAAATTCATGGACTGATATTTTACCCAAACCCTAAGGCCTTACAGGGTCCATCAGAAGTTCTTGGGTAGATTCTTATGAAAAATATTTATTCTGGATATGGATATCTTGCATAATCTTAAACTTGGCATTCATATCTGACAATATATTATATATGTAGGTATTGAAGTTACTGATTTCTTAAAATGCCTTTCAATTTTTTCGAATTCATTAGTTCATGGTTCATTCACAACATTCATATTTTCATAGTAAAATTATCTTAAAATAGTTATTTTATTTAGTTAATTTTTAATATGAGTCATCTAAATTTAAAAATCCTAATTAAACGTGTATATTAAAGTGAAATATCATCATATGCTATTATAACTTTGTTATTTTAATATCCTAAGGTTGTTGATTTACGGTACTTAAATACTGAGCACAATTATAAATATATATATATACTAACTGACCAGGCAGACGTTGTTCTGCCCTTTCCGATGACCATTTAATTTCCTAAAAAAACTGCAAAAAAAGAGTGTCACTTATTGGGATAAAAACTATCCTATCTCTCAAGTTGGACCAAACTGAACACAGTGTGCAAAATTTGATTAAAATCAGTTCAGTAGTTTAGGAGTTCATCGCGGACAAACAATGTGACACATACTTTTTATATATATTATGTTATGAGATGTGGTATCAAAATTATTGTTACTTCTACGTAAGCCTATGTTATTTTTACAAAGAATGCAATGTGATGAACATTATTAATCATGCTATTGTGATAGCGTTAATTAATTGGACTTGTATTCATGAACTTCTATTAGAGAATACTTTTAATGGCGGAACTAGCCTAATTAGCACTATTATGTTCATATCTTATCCATTTTGTACACAAAAGTACAAATAAATTTGCGTCTGATTTTAAAGCGACATTGCTGTGTATTCGTAATTTGTAGGTCTAACTTTTCATGTCATTGGTTAATTCACATTTCATTTACTACATGAAAACTTCATCATGATAAAGTTATTAATAATTTTTCATTTAAATACTACAAGTTGCACATGCTAATGTAACATAATTCTTTTTTACTTCGTAATTGAGTAAATAACTTGTTTAATTTTCATTTATATTGCATTTCTTATATAATCAGTTTTAATTTAGATTGTACTTTTATTTTTATAAGCCGAATATAATCAAAACCTTATTACTTATGTATGGTCTTAGCGTATCAAACCAGGTATTTTAGATTAATACAGATAAAGATTACGCATTTCAATAGAATTTTTGCGAAAGTGTCTTACTAAAATTTTACTAAGGGTTAATTTAAATTTAATATAGAATAATATTGAAGCATAAATATATCACGAAATCCATAGGTCTTTTTGTAAAAACGAACTCTGTGGTCTACAAGTGAACATTAAATGCAATTTACACTGAGCTAAATTGCTGTATATTAAATAGATATAGAAGTATACATGTTTGACTACTGGCTGTTGCACATTATAGCACACAAAAATAACTTAACACCGACCTTACTTTATATAACATTGGATCATATTGCATTTTTAATATTTAGGTATAGGAGGTAATAAATCGTAAACTTCTGACCACACATATCTTGCTCATAGTCCGCTTGTCACTCGTTTCCCACACCTTCCCACACTTTCAACACCTTATTGATGGCCTGCAGTTTTTAAATGAAAATACGAACTGGCGGTTCATTGAAGCCCAAGCGAAAGTTAGACTTAGGCCCACCACATACATACTGAATTCCGTTTCGGGCTTCCGTTTTGATATTCCGATTCGGAATTCCGAACGCAGCAAGTCCATATAAAATCTATGACCCGTCACACACGTACGGTAGTTTTCGGGATTCCGTATGTGTGTGAATTACCAACGGGTCGGCCACACACATACGGAATCCCGTTTTGCCTGCAAAATTTGGAACGGAAAACTACCGTAGATGTGTGGCGGGTCCTTGATTTTATGTGGACATCCTGCGTTAAGTTTTCCTAATCGGAATATTGAAACGGAATTCCGTATGTATGTAGCGAGCCTAACAGCTGAGATGGGATGAAAGAAGCTAGTCGTTACCGCGTCTACTGCTTTTCGGCGAGTAGGAAACACGGGTCCAAGGAGTGATAAGTGTTTTGTCCGCAAAATATGGGTGTCTGAAGCGACCTAGCTATCCACTATTTCCTTTTAAATTTAGATAATAATAATTCCTTACACTGAGTATGTGTATAACGATGTTCTTTACACAGTTCACAGTGCCAGACATGTTCTACCTTCGATGATCATATCCTTCACCCGCTTATTCATAATTAATCATATGACACATTAAAACAATTTGAATCTCGCCCTTACAGGTGTACCTATATATTCTAGTAAAATTTGTTTAATTTCACCACCTCACATAATTCAATTATAATATTTAAGAAAAATGTTTTAGCAATAGAGAACCAATTCAACAGTTTCAATTATTATTGTCAAACTAGGAATAACAAAGTAAGAAAGACGGACAACTCGTATACATTTCTTGTGATGCACAAAACAAGCCAAGAGCATGCTCAACTTATTGTGAGAACACGCATTCACGTTCAGATATGCATCTTAAATAAAAAGCAACGAACATCATGGTTTAAGGTGCATATGTGTGTGTTAAATATTACGGGCTGATATAGAAAGAAAGAAGAAAGATGTGCGTGTGTGCTTTAAGAAGTTGAGAATGGTTTCTGTTCGGTTCGTCTAAGTTTTCTTTGTTTGCCAGTTGTCAAACGTTAACCCACTTTTATTTTCTTTTTTTTTTATTTATTTTCTCACCTGGTTGGGCTATATAAATATAACTATAATTGTAAATGTATTTTTTCTTTATTATTATTATTTTTAATATAATTGTTAATTATGCACGATAGTTAATAACAATATGGCTGGGCTTGTAATATTTCGTCACTAAAATGTTTATATAACAAGATATTACGTATATGGAATATAATTAATGTATGTGTACCTAAATATTATAGTAAGTATAGGTTTAAACGTATATATAATAATTTTAAATCCATCATATTATCATGCAAAATTCAATTAGGTCCGTGTCATCTGATACTTACATAACTAAAATGTATACATACAAATAAATTCGAAGTGTCTATCTGCCATATCGAAATAACTGCCTTTTATTAAGCTGAGGGGATTACTTGCATGCAATTGCCTATTTGTTTCTAAAGAGGCCTGTGTCTTGCAGTAGGTGTGACGAATCATTAACATTCACAAGTCAACTGCTGAACACAGGCTTACCACAAAGCACTGTTCTGAGCCACCTGCATGCATCGACTCCCTGCATCTCTTGCCACATTACAAACAATTTTCATTATATATTTGCAAGTAAAGCAATATAAATAAATATCAAAAATATATTTAGAGAAGACTGCTTATACATACTTTAATGATATTGATTTAAAAACTACTAACTTGCCTAATAATGTTCAGTGTGCGTTTTTATTGAACATCGATATTTTAACTTGTTCGTGATCGTGATTAACAGATTTCGTGTATTTATGAGATTGGTTATAGGTTATAATAGTGACTGTTGTCCTTCATAACAAGAGAGTGGTTTTAGGATAATTTGATGTTGACGATTACTAAACCAAGATAGACAATAGATATTTAAATTGTCATCATTTTCAAATTACACTTCCAAAGCATTCGTAAATATTGCTATTTTATCGAGTTAGAGAGAGACTTTCTTTTGTTTTTTTTTTATAAAATAAGGGTGACAAACGAGCACACAGTCCACCTGATGGAAAGTGGTTGCTGTGGCCCATAGACATCTACATCTATCTTCG